GCTGGTAGGTGTTTTTCATCTAAATAATCCAAACTGCAGGCAGCAGGATAATAAAAGCGAACATATTCTGCCAGCAGATTTCAGCATTTTAAGTTAATTTATGCGTCAATAAACTGTTTAAGAGGAGCGATCACAGCGCTCTGTGTCATCAGCGATGTGTCTCTCTCCCTGTCAGCTCCCAGATCAGCTTCTCTGATTGGTTGATGCGGCGCATCGAGCAGCAAAAGTTAAATTTTTCCATCTCGAGCAGCAGCGCGTTTGCGGCACGTCAGATGCTTAAACGCGCCCGACGCGCTGCTTCAGCTGCTCAAAACACGATGCGGGACCTTTTGCTGCGCCTTGACGCGCGTCAACCATTGACTTTGCATGGAAACCTGCTGCTTCTGGCACGCCTGCTGCGTCCGGTGTGAACACAGCATAAGACTCATAAAATCCTAAGTCTTTCAAATGTTGTGGATTTTTAGTCAAATTGAGTTTTTGTTGCCAGGTTAAACATTTCATTTATCTTAATTTATCAGATCAAATTAAATGTATGAATTTAATTATGTATAGATGTTCTTATGATGTGATCATTTGATATATTTTGTGTATCTGTATAATTTTAAAAGGACCCCAGGAAGAGTAGCTGTCAAATTACTGACAGCTAATGGGGATACAAATAAATAAACAAATAAACCAATTAAATTAATTTAAATGTATAGAAAAATCTTCAGTTATTGCATTGGCAGATTTACTGTTGCTCATTTAAAGCCATAAAGTCTAAGTTTTAATTAGTTTTTGCTTGTTGGTGGGGAGCTATTTTTCCCAGTGAAGCCACCAAGTCCCTGTTCCAGTATAGATGAGCTTTAATTAAAGAAGGTTTTCATGGCGGAGCGGCGGAGCTCCACAGCTTATGTTGGCGAGATTCAGATATTAGCTGCTTCTTATAAATCTGGCCTCTAATGATAAGTGGTAAGAAGGAAGCCATTGTTCACAGGAAGTCCTGATCCGTTTGACGCAACGATGCAGGAAATTTGAAAAGGGTTCTCTGGTGAAATGAAACCGAAAATTAACTTTTTCCATCTTTGTGAGCCAGAAAGATAACGGCGGGGAAAGAGAAGCCTTTCAGATTAAATGGAGGCTGGAGTGGGGGTCACCTTCCCGCAGGACTGCGAACTGACAGGGAGTTTAAGTTTAAACCCCTTAAAGACACCTTACTGAGCCCCACCAGGCCAGCTGAAGAATTTTCTTTAAATATTCTCTCAAGATCCCCTGAAAATCCAAAAGTTAAATACAAACACGCCTGGGAGAACGCTTCAAAACAAACTTTATTTAGACAACAGATCAAGTTGCAGTGCAGCCCTAGATCCAGCTGTGAATCTGTGGCACCGTTTGAGGAATTGATGTTCACAGCAATTAATCCAAACTCACTTAAGCAAGGAAACCCTGTTTTTCAGTGTAGTCCTGTTTCTCTGACTGTGACTAACTGGATGTGCTCTCCTCATCCTCTGACA